CTCTCCGGCGGCCACACCATCGGTAGGGGCCACTGCAGCTCCTTCGTTAACCGTCTCTACCCCACACAAGACCCCACCATGGACGAGACTTTTGCCAATGATCTCAAGAGCATCTGCCCCTCCAACACCACCAACAGCACCACCGTGAATGACATTAGGAGCCCTAACAAGTTCGACAACAATTACTACGTTGACCTCGTGAACCGGCAGGGGCTGTTCACTTCTGACCAAGAATTGTACACGGATAGCCGGACAAGGGAAATTGTGGAGAGCTTTGCCGCTGATGAGACTCTATTCTTTGAGTCGTTCGTGCGTGGTATGATTAAGATGGGGCAGCTGAGCCTGTTGACTGGGAAACAAGGTGAAATTCGTGCAAACTGCTCAGTGAGGAATTCCGATAATCAGTACTTGGTGACTGTGGTGGAAGAGGAAGTGGAGGAGGTCTGGTCTGAGTTGAAATGAGGGTTGGTTTAATTAGTTGTTTAATGAATGTTGTTGGCCAAAATAAATTTCTGGTTACGTAAATGTAATCTGTCCGTCACATTGAAAAAATAGACATGCAAGTTAAATACTCCTAGCCTTCTTTGTGTTGGGATTTTGAGTTTGAGAAGGCAACACTGGGGAAGTTCTTCAAAATTAAAAAGGACATGTTCTGGTAGTTCTCTAGGGTAATGTTTTGGTAGGCAATTTTCTTGGTAGGATAACTTGCTCAAGGAACAACACAGCTTTCCATAATTAATTAAGCTGATTTTCACCAAACATATATAATGCATAAAACAAGTACCAACACAAGTTACATATAATGAAGGGAGGTTTTTAAGCAAAAGCAATATCATAATCACACAAAAAATCAATATATTCAATAAACTATAATGACAGCATTAGTGTCACAGCTTGAACTGCTTCTCTATCTAAGCCTCCATTTGCAATTAGTATCATGATCAACTCACTATTTCAACTAACAACTTCTTCAGAAATGGATTCTTCTGGGCCACCTTCACTTATTAGTGATATTAATCCTAAGATATTATAAACAAACTTGGCTAGGTCTCTGTCGATAAACTTTCCCACTGCATCCACAGCCATGTGGAATGCCATTTCTAGAAAAGATGGAAAATATTTTCCAAATTAAGTGATTTTTTGTTATCCAAACGGATCCTTAGACTTTTGGTGCAGGCCTGGGATACATCAACTGTCAAAAGGAAAAAGAAAACAATTAAAATTACAATTAAGATATTTAAAAAAAAAAAAAAAAACTTATCAGTTCATATTGCTATCCTAGTAGGGTGGACGAAAGATATGATCATAAAATATGCGTACACACTGAATTAGTTCATTTCTGAACAACCATCTGAGCGTTCATGGAATGATTTTGTAGCTAGACGACGGCGTAGATTGCTCGAAGCAGAGGACTGCTGAGTTAGGCCTACATTGCAATCATGAGTAAATTGGAAGTTTTAACAAATCATTATTACAAAAATGAATAATTTCAGCTGTGAGCGTACCTTGATATTTGGTTTTTGGATAAGTGTGGCAGCGCTCATTACGGACTTTTGCAGCTGGATTGCTGGGCTGATCAGGATAGGACGAGGATCTTTCCACAACTGACGAGTCGCTATTAGAGGAGGATTTAGAGGTTGATTCAGCTGGGGACTCTGTTGGGTGTGGAGAGTGAGATCTACTGAAGTTCTTGCCCTCTTCCAACTGCCTAAGCTCTGTAGCCTCCTTGTCATCCTTCTTTGGACCCTCCTTCTCAACCTTCTTTGGCTTTATTTTTGGAGCATAGAATTTCCATAGACACATGAAGAAAAGTGTGGCCAGTATAGTCAGCATAGCCAACAAGAAATAGTATTTGTTGAGACGTCTTTCATTAACGTCGTCACGTATCCATTCTCCAAAAACTAAAATAAACACAGCAGCAAGTAAATCTCCCAAACCCTCCACAAAACGAATGAATGAAAAAACCCATAGATGCATGGATATTTCTACATGGGCGAAGAAAACATGATCCATCCCATCTTCCACAAGTTCTTTCGCAATTCCTAACAGGGCAAACTGTGGAACCATCCATAAGTTGTTCATGCTTAGTTTTGAATCCAATCTTTGAGACTCAACATACCAAGAACACATGCAGCAGCAAAAACAAAAAAACATCCCCAAAATAAGCTTTGCACACTGCCACTGTTCACTTTCTCTCCATAACTTTATGACTGTGAGAATCTCCATTAAAAGCTTGGTCATGAGGCCCGTCCCTTTCTGTATTGCAAATAAACAAATTGCGGACTGAGAGAATATGTTTCCTATATGATCCTCCGGTTCGTACACCTGCTCATAAAAAAGGGTCTTACCTGCACCTTGAACCACATAATAGATAAGGAAGGGTGTGTATAAAAGAAGCAATTTTAGAAGCTGCATAGCCTGCGTAATTCGACTGCACTGCTGATTTGATTGATTGATCTCCTGTGGCGGACTGGAAGTCTCTCCTGGGTTTCTTTCATTTTTTTGACACTTGTAGTACAAGATGGCACACATGAGAAACACATAGCCAATTATCGTTAATATTGATAAAATCTTAAAGATTGACTTCCATTCAGATTGTGATGATATCCACAAGCCGACGATGGCCCCCGTACACCTGGCAGGAGAAAGCCAAACATTTATACGGTCTGAAACATTTTTGACACCAATTATGTCATCTCCCAAACTAATGTAATGAAAAAGAAATCTGGACGTCAACATATATCCTGTCCTGCCAACAGCTAATAGTACTAATGCTAGGTAAAAAATTCCAGAGCTCCAATCTGGAGCTATGAACCATAGCATTAGTATACCCTGCAAAAAGAATAATAGGAATTAGTTACCGTATGTTCTGTTATATTAAGGGTAATGTGAAAGACTGAGAGGTTTGTCAACAGTAGTTTTTTTGGTTTAAAGCCAATAAAAATCCTGCAACTTGTCAAAATGGTTCATTGTTATCCCAAACTTCAAAAGAAGTCATTAAAATCCCTGAACGTTGTAAGAGAGGCAACCACCGTCCCTCTATCAACGACCTATAATGGAAATGCGGATTGGGCCCTATCAGCGTTGAAAAATTGCTGATGTATCACCTGTAGGCTTGACAATGGCCCCACATTTTTTTATAATTTTTTTATACACCTTTAACATTGTTAAATGCAATATTTTAAAAATTGATCTGGTGTTTTATCTATTTTATGCAGTGGATCTGGTTTAACTGATTGAATCAGTTAAATTGGTTAATTTAATCAATCCTACAAAAAATTGACTTAAATTTGTAAAAAATAAGAGGCAAAACTTGAATGTAAAACATTGTGTCAAACCACTAGATTCAATAGCCTTAATTCCTAAAATTTCAACTTTTTAAACTTATTCATAATTCAATGAAATCAAATCTAGTAATTAGTAATTTTATAAATGTTAAATAAAAAAATTAATTTAAATGTTTAAACATCAAAATATTTTCATAAAGAAAAAGAAAAAGCAATACCATTAAATCAAACTTCATTTAATGTTTAAACAGTTAAAATTTTAAATCTTATTCAATCATTATTATTTATGATTTTATTAAATAAAAATTTAAATTCTTAGTAATAAAAAATTTAATTTAGTTTAGTAGTATGATTTATAATTTGGAGTTCTTAATTTTTGTTATTTTATTTTTAAAATTAACTAATTTATATGTTTTATTTTATTAAAAAGTTTTTCTAACTTGTTTTCATGCTTTTATTATACCTTTTAATAACAATTTTTACAATAAAAATAAAAAGTTGACTTTAATTTAGTAAATATCTAATTAAAATTATTTACATAACATTGACTTAATTGCTAAAATTACATAAATGCACTATTAAACCCATTATAAAAATAGTTTGATTCATGATATAAACCTGATATGGGATCAAACTCAATAAAAACTCATAAAAAACTGTCAAACTTGTTAACTATTAAACTAATAAATCATTCGGTTCATAAAATTTTAAAAATCTTTCCATGAAAGCACAACGGGATTCAACCTCCACTCCCTCAACACCCGTTGGGTGGCTTCCACCACTGGCCCGTCATCACATCCGAATAAATTTTATTATTATAATAAATAAACTAATTAAAAATAAAACATAAAAATTGATTAATTAATTTTTTTATTTTATATTATATAAATAGTTCTTTTTTAAGAGTCAATTATCAGTATATAAGATTGTATAAGAAAGTTGTTTCAAATCATTTTTCTTACAAAAAAAAAAATAATAATAAAACATGGAAACAAAAGAACCCTCTCCCTGTCTTCCCCTATCTTCCCTTTGCTGTGTGCTTCCATCCGTTGATTTATTATCTTCCCATATATAGTTTTTCAAGTTATTTCTTTATGATGTTGAAAAAAAAAAAAAGAGGGGAGAAAAACTACCCGTACAAATTTGTTATCTAACAAAATGAGATTCAGTTGAAAAGAGAAGATACCCATCAAACTTGAATCATTAAAGATAAAACTTTTAAATAGAATAGAAAAAAGAACAACGAAGTTGTTCAATTTGATGTAACGAAGAGCAATTGATTGAATGGAACAATCATAATAACCATATCAATGTATTTACAGGACGTAATTGAGTTCTAAAGCATGATTTATTTCATTACCCAATTCTCAAATATATATCCAATTCTCGAATTTATCATGTGCAGAGTTGAATTTGGGTTTCTTATCTCAAAAGTTTAGGCAAATGGGTTTTACCATAAACCAAAATTCAAACCCAACATTGAAAACACAGAATTCAAACCCAAAAAATATATCGCGAACATGTATGGAGGAGGAATAAGACACACATGAAACTGCCGTTGCTCCCAGAGAAGGAGAGGGAGTTCAGGAAGTCAGTCGGATATGGAAGCTACTCTGGTATGATTAACCGTAAATCATGAAATTAATTGCAGAAATGGAGAGAAGAACCAACACACAATTGTTTTGAAGATGTAGATGGAGTTGCAAGGGAAAGAGGATGATTAAGGAAGATGACCGTATCGCCCTCTTCCAAGGGTTTTTGATCTCCTGTGGAGAGACTCCACTACCATGGCTCCGCTGGGTTATCTTAGTCCATCTTTCACTTTTCTCGCTTGTTTTTTTTTATCAATTTGGTTTTCATCTCTGCACAAAGCCCTAATCTGATTGAGGATTCTTGCTACAAATACGATTGGATACTTGCTGGTTTTGAGCTGTATACACGAATGGCTCTAGATCCCAAGGAAATATTAATGACATCATATGAATTAAAAGTTTTAACGAATTATTCAACAAAATTTGTGAAAATACATATCTACCCTAAAACATCTCTTCTTCCCCGATCCCTTTCTTTCTTCTTCAATTTTTCCTTATCTCTCTTTCTTCCCTTTCCCTCTCCGATATATTCCCTGCTGATCTACTTTCTCTTCCTCTGGTGGTATCTCTCCTCGCTCTGTCTTCCCTCTCCTCCCTCACTGCAAGTGGATTTCCACATCCATAAAACCCATATTTTTGGGTTATCCACGCATAGAGAACCGATCTGGGTTCTCTAAGCCGCGTGAAACCCAAATTTCTAGGTTACCCTAGCCTCGTCGAACCTAGAAACCCAGATCTATACTTGGTTAGATTTTTGGGTTTTTCCAGTCTCTTTATTATTGGTTAGATTTTTGGGTTTATGGTTTTTAAAATGGAAAATCCAGTGCTAGCGAGAGCAAAAAGGGCATAAATCCATAAAATGCCTCTTAACATACTAATTTTGAAGGAGTTTTACAACTTTAAATTTAAAAGTATAAAAATTTATTTTCTCAAGTTAACAGAAGAGCGCTACCGAAAAAGAAAAACCAAGTAATAACAAAGTTAGTCATCAAAAAATATAAAAGTGATAAGTAAATTTCAATAAATTCTAAAAAAGAAAATTTAGCTACAATTAAAGAAAATCTTTTAATTGAGTCAAGGTAAAAAACCCAAGAAAATAAGTGAGTAAACTCAATAATATAACTATATAATAGACATACTAAATTTAAAGAACATAGAATCAATAAATTAAGAGAAATTGTTGAATTATTAAAATTAACATGAATAAAGAACAAATAAATTGAATTAATATGTATCTTCTTAATACATTGACTAGAAACATAATCTGTATAGAAGACATAATTATCATTTATAAGATTTTTAAAATAGAATCTATCAATGAAAATACTCTAAGAAAAATTAGAGAAATGAGAAAATCCCTTTTTCCATAATATTCTTTTAAAGAAAGAATAAATGAAGTAAAAAATGCTAGAAATCTAAAAAAAATAAAAGAAGAAATACAATCTATCAAAAACTCAAATTTTGATATCTCGAGTTAAAGATATAGAACTTAAAATAAAAGAAATTTTTAAGATATTGAAAGTGATTGTTGAAAAATTTACAATAAAAGCTTAAAGATGTATCATAGAATAATTCTACAACTAGAAAGTAATATAGATAAAAAATTTTGTAAGATCTAGACACAGCTCAAGGATCTGTAATATACTATAATATCAGTCTATAATAAATAAAATATTGTAGATAAAAATGAAGGATTTAAAATAATTTTGAAGAATTTCACTGAAAAAGTCTAAATAACAAAGAATAACACTTTTCATGTTAAAAACCTAAGAAGAAAAGTTGAAAGAACTTGAACAAAAATTTTTAGAAGAAGAAAATGTGGAAGAATTAGACAATCTCTGCAAATAGATTACTATAACTATTAACAATTAGAGAATATGAAAATGAATACTCAAAAGGAGAAAATTGAAGAGGAAAGCGAAGAAGAAAAGGATAAGACACATCCTAATATAACCCTAACAGAGTGTCCAATGCAACTTGAAGTAGAATTCAGCATAAGCCAAAGCTATAGAAGGAATGAAAATCTAACACATGAAGTAATATATGATAACAAGAGTAGAAGATTTGGGAATCAATCTAAACTTGAAACTCTAGTTAGAGTCAAAGAATAAATAATTAGTACTAATGGTATTTAGCTAGATCTAAATTGCATTACAGACCTAAAAAAGGTCATTAGTAACTGGGCTCAAGTTACTTGGATAGTCATAGCAAACAAAAACTAGAATGCCTTACAAGCAGTCAGATTTATTGACGTCACCTTTAAAAGGATAGTTTATGACTAGTTTGCTAGTTTAAATTAAGAAGAAAGTAATACTATTATAAATGGAAATCTTGCTTCCAAAGAAGTTAATGAAATCGAAGCAATTCAAGACATAATAAATAAGTTTGAATCAGCCATAAGGAGAGAATTTTTAAGAGAAAATTAGGAAAAAATAAAGAAAAAGAAGAGGTTAGAATTGGAAGAGTGCCACTAAACAAATAAA